CAAAGGAAATGTTCAGTTGTACAGCATCATCAGATCAAGTCTCTGGTTTCAGACTAATTGCATAAATATTGACAATAAAAATTTATGACCAATATGTCTTACCTCTTTCCTGTCCCATTATCCTACTTTATAAATAGTTAGACTGGAAACAGGCAGAGAACTAAGGATAGAGCTTTGGAGAACAAAAACATTTAAGCATAAGCCATGGAAGAGAAGCCCTTAAAAAAAGCATGAAAGAGGATGTGAAAATCAGACTGTAAAGGATTGAAGAGTAAATGGAAATAAAGGAGTAAGAGACAAGAAGTGCACACTGCTTTTTTAAGGAGTTAGCTTATTATAAAGGAGCAGTAAGAGTTAGATGATGGAGATAAATTAGATAACAGTTCATCATCATTCCCTTCATCTCAAGTCTTTACTCTTTTATTACCAGAAAAGTCAGCCAAAAAAGAAACCTTAGTTACTTCTAGTCCCTCATCTCTCACCTAACTTATCTTCCTTATTAGACCTCATCTTCCTATGGTCTAGCATAAACATAACAGTGAGTCAGATCATGTCTCTCCTCTGCTGATAACCCTACATAATAAACCAACCAACTATATAGTATGTTAGAAGTATCTATGAAATAGAGGGTCAAGGTAGGCCTTATTGAGAAAGTGATATTTGAGCAAAGACTTGAAGGAGATAAAGGATAAATCCAAATGAATATATGGTTGGAAAGCATTCCTGAAAAAAAAAATCCTAAGGAAGGAGTGTGCCTAGAGGTGTGGAGAATGGCAAGCAAGCAGTATGGCTTCAGTGAGGTCTGTGAGAAGAGGGAGAGTAGCAGGACAGGGCAGAGAGGAAACAGAGGTCCTATCCATTTTATACTCACTACATTCACACTAAAGTAGTCTCCATCTCTTTCTGACACACACACTCACACACACACATAAAAAGACAAAGCTTCTAGAGAGATCTGATTCCTAACAAACAAGGTCTTCATGTCTCAGCTTTCCCCTCCCATATCTGAAGCTTAGATACCCCTCTGGTGTCTCCCACACTGGCAGGTCTATTGTATCACTTATATAACACCTGGAGGGTCCCTGAGGAGCATGTCCAATCACTTTTCTCCATCTGTCCACTCTGATGGAGCAGGCCTGCATCCAGAAAGCCTCAAGTAGGTAGGAACTAAGGGATACAGGCTATGAATGGCCATGCCAATAAGAGAATCAAAACAGCAAGTTAACAAGGTGGAAAACACACCAGATAAAGTTATTGACAGGAAATATAAAAGGATACAAGTCAGAATGAGCTCTGGATTCCCAGCATCTGGACTATTTTTGAGGACTTAGAAGAGAAAAGGAAGACTACTAAGAGAGAGAAAAACAATTTAATAGGAAGACCAATACTGAAACAGAATATATTCCAGGGGCTGGGGCTGGGGCTGAAAGGATATATCACCATGCCTGCACTACCCCATAGAGAAGTATGGTAAGCTACAAAATTCTATCAGATCTATTTCTGATTTTTTGGGATAGGAGAAAAAATGACTCTTGTTCTTGGGGAGAAGGATATGGAGGGAAATGCTTGACCACATTTATATTATAGCTAATTTCTTTGACTCCACTCACTGCAAAATCATGACCATAAAGATTCTCTGCTTGTTATGTCCCTGTTTTTCACGTAGTCTCCTCATTCATAGAGACTAAGTTACAAAGAACTCTCAGAAATTGCATGGGATATGGGAGGGAAAAGGAGATAAAGGACAAGAAAAAGAATTTCTGCAGTATTTCCTTAAGACCCAGCAGATGGTGCTATAGGAACACTGCTTTCCAGGCAAGGGCTAAAGATTGAGTGCCCAGGGGTACTAAGAGATTTTCCCTGTTGATACTCACCAGTTTTGTTAGTTTTGTGTATGTTTATTTACTTAGGTCAAACACTCTGCTCAAGAACTGTCCCCCAAACCCTGGCTTTTCTGACACGAATAACCCCCTACTCCCTTGCTATCCCAGGAGGAAGCAGATTTTAGTTCAAATCTTATCTTCTCCACTTAATAGCTAAGTGACTTGAACAAGTTACATATTTCTCTGAGCCTCAGTTTTCTCGTGTGAAAATTGGAGGTAATAATACCACATCATACAGTTGTGAAGATTAATAAAATGATGTACATAAGCGCACAGAGCACTGTGCTTGGCATAAAGGAGAACATCATTTCCCCTTTTCTGCCAATGCACAGAAGTGCTGAAAAACCTGGAACATGACACATACCATTAGAAATCTCTTTACCTGAACCCCGTTGAGGGGAAAACCACTAACCAAATTTATGATGGGGAAATTTTCAGGGCCACCCTATTACTAGAGAGCACATACCCTGGTAAAATCATGAATCTTAAGTTTTCAAAGGATTTTTGTGACAATCTAGTCCAACTGTTAGATTCGTAATTCTCAAAAAGAGAGAAGCTAAAATGCACATTCAATATGCCTCTTGTTTTCATAAAACAAACCAGAAAATAAAACTCAACAGAACTCTGGCTGGTGACATTGGAGGATACTCAGAAAATAAAACACTGAAAGAATTAAAACTGCTTACATGATATATGAAAGTTCCTTTAATATCCCTGACAATAAATTCAATTACTTCACAAAGAGCTCACTGAATTTTCAGCCAACATGTTAAAAGTTTCTTCTTTACAACAGGTCAAAATCTCCCTTCTATGAGCACCCAAAGACCCCTTGTTATGTTCCTTCCCTACCACCTCACACATACCAATATTCACAAACAGATATGCACACTTTTCTCTCTCACGAAACTAGTGGTTCTGATGTCCCACACTTTCCAGTTCTTCTCTTCCTCTAAGATTCTCCTCTCCAGGTCAATCTTCCTCACAAGCAAATACAGAAGAGGGCTGGGGATGGCAAACTACAACCCACAGGCCATATCTAGCATAATACCAATTTTTGTATGGCCCCTCAAGCTAAGAATGTTTTCTCCATTTTTAAGTGGTTGAAAAACTGTGATATGTAAAATTATGAAATTTAAAGGTCAGTGCTGATAAATAAGTTTTACTGAAACACATCCATGCTCACTTGTTTATATCTATGGATGTTTCATGCTACAAGAGCAGAATTGAGTAGTTGAAACAAAGACCATACAAATCCTATAACATTTACTATTTGTCCCTTTACAGGAAAAGTCTGCTGACCCCTCACTTAGGAGAACACTGGCCCAAGAGCCTGTTTCACCTGGAATAGTCTTCACCTACAACCCTCTACTCCCTCTGTGGCAACAGTTGGCCTCAAGGAAATTAGTCTTCACACAGAAAATTCCACCTCTCCTACATTCCCACAGTCTCAGTCACACCTTTAAAAAGCTCACCCTCTGATGGAGCATGACAACCTGGTCCAAATCAGGCATCAGGAGGAAAAATGGATGCAGTACTCTGAGCAGTTCTTAGAAGAAAATATACAGCCTGATAATGTTGAATTAGAATCATGTAAGTTATCATTTGCCAATAGTTGCTACCACTCCTTCCCAAACCTGATGATTGTGCTGCACAAGCTTTAAGTCTACATGACTTCACCCAGCTTCAGGGAGGCTTGTGCTGAATGCTCACCATGGATGGAGTGCAAAGCAAAGTCATCAGGGATAAGAAAAAAGCCACTCATTGATTCTCAGGGCTAAAATTCCATTTATATTCAGGTAAAATCATGTCCTCTGAAGTGAAGATGGCAAGACAGAGGGCAGACCCTAGTACTGTGAAAAAGCAGTTGGCCAATGCAGAGCACAGTAGTCATGACTCTCACTCCTCTTTCAATTCAATTTGACAGACATTAATTGAGGATATTTATGTGCCAAGCAATGTGTTAGAGTCTCCAAGTGCCATAGGAATTAATAATGCCCATTCCCTATTGTCTCAAGAAGCTCATAGTCCAGAAGTGATACAGGCACATAGACCCACATATGCATATGTGTGTGTATGGAAGGATATACATCAAATAATTAACAGTAACTATTTCTGGGTAGTAATTACAGGTATTTTCATTTTCTTTGCTTTGCTTACCTATATTTACTGATTTTTTATATATTAAACATTAATTACACAGTAAGACACTTTTGAAAGTTCATAATATAATGAGATTGATATTACAGTAAAACTCCCAAAAAGGTACACAATTATAATTCTCTCTTCTGTATTCAAGAAGTATTTCCCACAGGATTCTAAGGTTGGTTTTAAAGAATGAACAAGAATTCACTAGGCAGATAATGAGGAAAGATATTCCAAGAAAAAAATGTAAAATAGTATGGTATATTCAGAAAGGTTTAAGTAATTACCTCCTGGGGGAGCATAAAGAGGAATAGGGAAAGAAGAGATGTGGCTGGAGAGAAGCCACAGCTCAGATCATTAGGAAACTTGGATCCCATACTAAAGAGCATGGATTTCCCCTAAGGTTATGTGGTAGTTGAAATGAAAGCTACATTAATGAATGGTCACTAAGGTAAGGTAAACAGGGTAAAGAGACAAAAGGACTTCCGCAGCCATTACCCATTCCAAGAGGTAGTCATACCATGGGTGACACCTTGGCTGAAATGTTGTATAAGAAAATATAGCTTAAAATGGAAGAGTTTGACTAGATATTTAAGGTTCTTTTGAAACATCACATTCCATGATTCTTTGACATTTGGTGCCTGATGTCACTGCACACATTCCATTAAACTTTGACTAAAGTTTACATAATTTGTTATCAATGCATTATGCTACATACTTTGTTGAATACACAGAGATCTCAATGCTGTTTCCAGAGATTCTGGCAGGTGGGGCTGGTACTAGCCCAGATATGGAAACTACTAATGCAATCCCAAGTGAACATGCAAGGAAGTGAGAATGTAAACACCTGGGAGCTGGGGAGAGGTGGAGCTAGGCTTGTTTGGGAATGAATTAGGACATCTCAAAGAGAGCAGCTCCTCCCTAAAATGGACCATCATTCCCTCTATATAAAGGCCATTAATCCCAACTAGCAGCACTGTAAGCTGCTTCAGTCTCCATCCTATTTGTTCCTTTGACAAACTAGGTAAGTGAGCAGGAATAATAAGGGCTATAAATTATCTAAATCTGGGGTGTGTTCTAAGGCAAAGAGGCACTGGATATCAGGCTTCTTTTTAATATACTCTGGGGACTCTGATATAAGTTTAACTATACAGAGGAGGAAAACGAGATCATGGGGACCAATAGTAGTGCCTCCTTTCTTTGGGGTCACTTCCTTAAATGTCATGGGGTTGTAATTATCCACTAAATGGGTTGCCTCCTTTACACTGAGCTTTTTCTCTGTACTGTGCAATTAATAAAGCCTGAGGGTCACTTCCTGCTTGGAGAATGAAAACAGAAGTTAAACCTGATAGCAGCTAGCCCCAACTCCTTATCACCTCTGGTTGGTTTTGCCCACTTTGTCTACTTTCTCTGGCCTAGAAATCTTGAGGGTCCAGTTTAGCCACTGGTGCCCCTTAGCTGGAGTCAGGTGTGCCATGTAGATGATGGACCTGTCTCTCCCTAGTGTGATGGTTGAGACCTAGAGAGCAATTGGATGGAGTGGATGAATTGGCATACCCAGGATTTCTAAAACTCCAAAGAGAAACTCAGAATTGTCCCTGGTAGTGGCAGGGAGCCCCAAACAGAAAGCCATTGCTTCTACATTAATTCAGGAATGGAAATAAGAGATATAGGGATAAGAGTTATAGATTATGTTCTTAATTTCATCACATTTCTTGCTACATTGCTTAAACATGTCATTCAACTCTGGATTGGTTCTTGATTACAATAAAATTAATCATGCCTGATTAATTCTGAACAATTTTACTACAAATAATTGGAACTATTTAGTACTTAAGCAATAAAAAAACTAGTAAGAGGTGGGTTCTCTCTCCTTTTTTTCTCTTTTAGGTTAATTGAGTTTACAAAAAGATGCCTCAACTCCTACAAAGCATCGTCACTGTCATTGATCTTTTCTACCAATATTCCATCCAAGACGGGGAGTGTGACATGTTGAACAAGGCAGAACTAAAAGAACTTTTAGAAAATGAGTTTCATCAAATTCTGAAGGTAAAAACTTCATTTCAGGACTGAAGACTCCTTTAATTCCTTTTTCACCCCCTTCAGACATTTCTATCACACATGTCAAACTCCTAGAGGACTCTCCCTTGGTTGTAGAGGACAGGGTTTGGTAGAAGCTTGAAACCAGATAAAAATTGACCCATTAACAGTTTCCATAACATTACCAAGGGAAATGATCCTACTAAACAACAGACAAAATACGTAGAATAAATAATGTTCTACCTATGCACATAATTCTTATGGAATAGACATTGAGATGATCCTCAGAAAAACTGTAGTTTTTCTGCCCTTTCTTTGTCTTTCTTCAGCCCACATATATCCTGACTACTGCCCATTTCTGTGGTTCCAGCACTATAAGGCCTGTGAATTCAGGAAATTAGCATCTTACTCCTTAAAATCATAGAACAGAGTGACCACTACCTTAAAATGTCAGCTCTAGAAATAAGTATGTGGGAGTTTAGATCTAGCTCTTGATCTTCAATTCACTGTATCCAGCTGCCTACTGAATATTTTTATTTGGATTCCTATGGCTGTCTGAAATTCAGTATGGCAGTTATGAAACTCACCATCTTCCTTCTGAATTATCTCCTCCTATTTGCCCAAGGCAGATATCTTGTGCCATTCCTGACTTCCTCTCTTGGTAAGCACCTCCACCCTCCAACCTCCATCTTACTCATCAATAGTTTCTCAAAATAGCCCACTTCTTGCCACGATTACTGATAGTCCTCTGATTCATGCCACCTCCTACTTTCCATCTTAGCTTTAGGTACAAATTTAATCATTTCACAATTTAACTCAAAATCCTTCAACATCTCCCAGCTCTTAGAGTCCAAAGTTCCTTAACACAACTTAAAGGGCATACTCTGGTCCCTATTTATCTCTTTAGTCACATCTCTTGACTACTGAGACTAAATTTAGCAATACTGAATTTCTTGCTCCTCCCTTTGTTCATATTGTTCCCTCAGCCTGGAATAATCTTTTTTCCCCTCTCCCTTTTTTCCTACCTCTTTATTTGGCTAATTCCAGTGGTTCTTCTCTGGTGTACTCTCATAGAAATATTATCACAACATATTGTAACTTTAAGTTTGTGCATCTCACCCACTAAAACTTTAAGTTCCTCTTTGTCAGGAAACAAACTTGTTCACTGCTTTATCCCCTGTACCTAACTCAATGCTGTGCAGATAGTAGATGCACAATAAATATTTGTTGAATTAGTTAATTAAAAACTGGACAAAAAAAGGAAAGTCATAGATAATTAATGCAAATATCAAAAATTATTTGTAAATTAGCTAATCATTCATATTTGACACATTTCTTACAAAAAAATAATTCTCTTGTTCCCTGTCACCTTCTAATTGCATCCTCTTCTAGATATTTCTCACTGCATTAATTATTGCATATTCCTTTCTCTTTCTGTTCAGAATAGGACAGTCTAAAGAACTATGTGGTTGAGCTCCACTTAAGTAAGCATTCACATTTCAACAGCCTTCCTTCAATTGGTTATCTGGGTGTATGGTCCCTACTGACAGAGTTGCCCTCTGTACCTTGCTCCCATACAGAATCCACATGATCCAGACACTGTAGATATCATCCTGCAAAACCTGGATCAAGATCGTAACAAAAAAGTAGATTTTACTGAATATCTTCTGATGATATTCAAGTTGGCTCAGGCTTGTAATAAAATCATTGGCAAAGATTACTGCCAACCTTCAGGGTCAAAACAGAGAGACCATAGTCACAAGCACCAAAAGGAAGAAAGAGAAACAGAAGAGGACAAAGGACAAGAATTGTCTTACATTCATTCAAGGTGTAGTACAGAAGAGAATTATTCCTATTCCAGGGGCTCCAGCAGAAGCATTAGACACAGGTCTGGGTCCAGTTCCAGAAGAATGGGGCATCAAGAAAGTTTACCTCATTCTGAGCACAGGCAAAGCTCTGGAGAAAGGAGAGAGTCAAGTCCTGGCCACTTCAAGGACAGTAAGAAAAACAAGCATGGCTCTCATCAGCAAGAAAGGTCTGGAAGTGAAGAAGTTGGCTATACTCATTCAAGTAACTATAGAAAAAGATCAAACTCAGCAAATCAGTTAGGCACTTGTGGAGAAGAAAGGCATGTGTGTCACTCAGAGGCTCAGTCTTTCAGTTCTGACCAACACTGGTCTGAATCAAATGAATCCTTAGGGAATAGACAACACAAAAAGAAATCAAGCCAGTCTGCTAGTAAGCAGAATAATGGATTCAGCTCAGGAAGTTGTGGAGAACAAGATTACTGTTCAAATTTAAATAAACCCACTGGTTGTGATCAAGGGTGTGGCTCAGGTAAGCCCTCTCAACAGAGATGGCATGAATCAAATGCAGAATCTCAATCAAGAAACTGTGAGGAACAAGGATACTATTCTAATTCAAATGAGGTATCCAGTTATGGAAAATATAGGACAACCTCGGGCCTGTCCTCTAGTCAAAGACATGACTCCAGCTCAAGAGGTCAATCAGGGAGCTGGGGGAAACAAAAACATGGATCTGGCTCAGGTCGTTCTTCAAGATACGGACAATATGGGTCTGGATCAGGTCAATCTTCTGGCTTTGGGCCACAAGGTTCTGGCTTAAGTCAGTCATCAAGCTATGGACAACATGAATCTGGATATGGTCAATCATATGGCTATGAAAAGCATGGTTCTACTTTAGGTCAGTCCTCTGGCTTTAGACCACAAACATCTGGATCAGGTCACTCGAACTATAGCCAACACAGGTCAGGCTCAGGACAGTCTTCTAGCTATGTCCAACATGGGTCTAGATCCAGTCAATCTTCTAGCCAGGGCCAACATAGCTCTAGATCCAGCTATAGTCAACTTAGCTCTGGATCAGGTCAGTCCTCTGGCTATGGACAACATAGATTTGGCTCAGGTCAATCTTCCAGCTATGGTCAACAAGGGTCTGGCTTAAGTCAGTCTAGCTTTAGCCAACATAGGTCTAGCTCACGTAGATCTTCTAGCCACAGCCAATATGAGTCTGGCTCACAATGGTCTGGATATGGCCAACACAGGACTGGCTCAAGCCGATCTTCTAGCCACAGCCGACATGGGTCAGGCTCAGGTCAATGGTCTAGCCAGGGTCAACATAGCTCTATACCAGGTCAGTCTTCCAGCCATGGCCGACTTAGCTCTGGATCAAGCCAGTCCTCTGGATATGGATACCATGGATCTGGCTCAGGTCAGTCTTCTGGCATTGAGCTACATGGGTCTGGCTTAGGTCAATCTTCTAGTTATGAACAAAATATTTCTACTACAGGACAATCATCAGGCTGTGGACACCATGGATCTGGCTCAGGTCAGTTTTCTAGCTATGGTCAACATGAATGTCGCTCAAGTCAGTCATCTAATTATGGCCAACATAGGTCTGGTTCAGGCCAAGCTTTTAGCCATGGCCAACTTGAGCCCAGATCAAGTCAATCTTCAAGGGATGGCCAACACGGGACTATATCAAGTCAGTCTTCTGGCTTTGGGCAACATGCATCTGGCTCAGGAGAATCTTCTGGATTTAGTCAGCATAGATCTGGCTTAGGTCAGTCCTCTAGCTATGGGCACCATGGTTCTACTTTAGGACAGTCATCAAGCTGTGGTCAACACAGCTGTAGCTTGGATCAGTCTCCCAGCTATGGTCAGCATGGGTCAGGCTCAGGTCAGCCTTCTGGCTCTGGTCAGCCTTGGTCTGGTTCAGGTCAGTCACCAAGCTGCAGACAGCATGAGTCTGGATATGGTCAATCTTCCATCCCTAGAAAACATAGTTCTGTTTCAGGTCAATCTAGCCATGGCCAACACAGGTCTAGCTCAGGTCAGTCTTCTAGGTCTGGTCATCATGAATCTGGCTCAAGTCAATATTCTAGCTACAGTCAACATGAGTGTGGATCAGGTCAATCTTCTGGCTTTAGTCAGCATGGATCTGGCTTAAGTCAAGCCTCTGGCTATGGACATGGTTCTGCTTTAGGACAGTTACCAAGCCAAGGTCAGTACACATCTGGTTCAGGCCAACTGCCCAACTATGGCCAACATGGATCTGGATCATGTGAGTCTTCCAGCTATGGCCAACACAGGTCTGGCTCAAGTCAATCTTCCGGCTATAGCCAATATGGGTCTGGCTCCAGTCAGTCTTCTTGTCATGGCCAATCTGAGTCTGGACAGAGTCAGTCTTCTAGCTATGGTCAACACAGATCTGCCTCAAGTCAGTGTTCTAGCCATAACCAGCATGGGGCTGGCTTGGGTCAGTGTTCTAGCTCTGAACAATATGGGTCTGGCCAATGTCAATCATCTAGTTCTGGACAATGTGGTTCTAGATCTGGTCAGTATTCTACTTATGAGCAACATGAATTACAAGGGACAGGTAGGTCAAGTTCAAGTGGAAATCACGATGAGTACAGTAGACTCAAAATAGGCTCAAGCCCCAATCAATCTAGAAGAAATAGCCAGGAATTATCACTGTATGGCCAAAAAGAAATAAGTAGAGATTATGGCCTATCAGATGGTGAGTCTGATGGGTATGAGAGTGCTCATGGACAATCAAGAACTTGTAAGCACCAAAGCCAAGGATGGAGCCAGGGTCAGTGGGAATCTGGCTATAGCCACTCAAATTGTAATGAAAGGCAATCAAGAAGCAATTATTAACAACTAGAAAGCTCCTCAACTTGTGGCTTTGGACAATTTACACCCTCCTCTGGATAGTCCAGACTCAACACTACCAACACATCATTAATCTGAAAGGAGGATAATAGACAAAGTAACTACCTCTCTCAGAGAGGAGGAGGTAAATGTGGAGGGGGAAGTACCAACTTAAGTTCCCACATAGTAGCTCTCCACTCTGTGAATATGTCCAAGAGCAGAGATACTAATTCTAGGGATAAATAATAAATAGAAATGAAATTAACTCAAGTAGCAATGTAAGAAATACAGACAAGCAATTCATTATGAGACTTCTTTATAAAAGTGGATATATGTATTTCTATATTTTTCTTTTAAATATGTAACTGCCCTCTATTCCTTGCTACTGAGTTCCTTCCAAAAAATACAGGGTATGTGGGTTACTTTGTTAGGAACTACTGAGTTGAATGGGACTAAATCTGGAAGAATAATGAAAAGCATTTAAGAATTGGGGTTTAGGTGAGGTGTCTTTTGGGGAGCTCATTGCTCATTATATGATGGCAAAGCTAAGCCTTCATCTCTAGAGAGCAAAAATGTATTAAATGCACTACCAGTTTTGGAGCCAAAGCCTCCTTACAGCAACATGGACCATAATTTTTGGTGTGCTCCACATTAGATGGTGGCAGAAGGGAGGAAGCTCTAAAGGTAAAGATGCAGCATTGGTAATTTATTTGCTTTTAAAACCACCAAGCCTGTATTCTTGAATGCATCTGTAATAAATCAGTAAACTGACAGACATTAAAAAGTGGCACCAGGTGCTTCTCCCTAGCTGGTGAGGGAGAACTTTATTTCAAAAGAACAGGGATGGATCAGTTCAGGATTAAAGGATCCAAATGTGGACTTGATTTCAGCACACAAGACCTTGACCCCTACCCCTAAGAATTTACTCCAGGTTGAAAAACTTTTTGAGAGCAAAAGTATGGAAATACAATGGCTCCAACCTACTTTTGTAGTTCACTGGCCTTTCCACATAGAAAAACATCACTTATTCCTAGAAAGAAAAGAGGACTGTCTTCCATTGCTGTATAGTTCCTCAGTTTAACTGTAACATATATTTCAAGTCTTTGGGTTCAAATAACTGGACTGCATTAAATTTGACAATAAATAATGGTGATCAAATACTGAGGTTTGTCTTGTCTCTGCTTCATGTCACTTTTCACAAACAGGTAATCTGACTAACAACTAACTCATGTAACTGTTTTCTAAGGTCTTGTCCTTCACAAATAACCCACAATATATAAAGAATTTTTAAAACTCGGTAATGAGACAAATAACTCAATTTAAAAATGAGCAAAAGATTTTAATGGACAGCTCACCAAAAAAGATGTACAAATGGCTGATAAGCACATGAAAAGCTGTTCTATGTCATTAGTCATCAGGGAACTGCAAATTAAAACATAATGAGATATTATTAATACCCATTAGCATGGCCAAAATTAAAAATACTGGCAATACCAACTGTAGGTATTACTGGTGGAAAAATAAAGTGATACAGTCACTTTGGAAAACAGTGTGGCAATTTCTTGTAAAGTTAAATATACTTCACTATATGATCCAGCAATTCTACTCTTGGATGAAATGAAAACATGTCCACATGAAGATTTTTACATGAATGTTCACAGCAGCTTTAATGATAATAGCCCAAAAGCTGAAACCACACAAATGTCCACCAACTGAAGAATGAATACACAAATTGTGGTATAACCATACAAGGAAATACTATTTAGCAAGGAGGAAAGGATGACTGATACACATGACATGGATGAACCTCAAAAACATTATATTGATCAAAAGAGGCCAAATACAAAAAAGTATGTACTATATGATTTTGTTTATATGAAACTCAAAGACAAAGATAAAAATATCTGTAGATAAAATAGAAATGTAAAAAAACAGAAAGTAGATCAGTGGTTGACTAGGCCTAGGAGTAGAACTTATAAACTTATTAGTTGACTGGAAAGAGAAATGCAAGGGAACACTCTAGGATGATGGAATTACTCTATACTGATTAATGTTTTTGTCAAAACTCATAGAATTGTATACTTACAATTCATATATTTTATCATATGTAAGTTATACCTCAATAAAGTTGATTTTGTTTAAAGTCTCCACAAGGCTTTTTGTGAAACCTGACATGCAAATTCTAAAATTTACATAAAGGAAAATAATTAAAGGTGGCAGAACAATTTTTAAGATAAATAAGGAAGAGGAATGTCATCTTGCTACATCAGATATCAAAATATATTACAAAGTTACATTATTTAAGACAGTGTGGAATTGTCCTAAGAACAGACATAAAGATCAATGGAACATCAGAAACAGATCCATGAACACCTGATAAATAATAATAATGGCTTTGCATATCAGTGGGGAAACACAAAGTTTTCAATAAATAGTGCCAAGAAAATTGGTCTTCCTCAAGAGGAAAAATCTCCATTTCATGTCATATACAAAATTAATTCCAACTAAAGTCCTGAAGTATAATAAGACAAACTTTTTAATTTTTTAAAGAAAATATAGGAGAATACCTTTATGACTTCAAAGAATGGAGTTCTTAAACAAGAACTATAAAAAACCACAATAAGATATATTGAGGGGAGAAGATTACAACACCCTAAAATGTGCCACTCTGGTCTATCTATGTATTATTTTGAGCTGAAGGCAATCAAGGCCTAGCACTCTCAGGAAGATTTTTTTTTCCAACCTCTCCCTTAATTGGCTAAAAGAATTTAGATAGGGGGCCTGTACAAGAGAATTATTACCAGAAATAACTTTTTATATCAGAAAGACTTATCTGGGTAACACAGCAACATTTGTGTACCAAACATTTGCTCTTTTCCTCTGCCTGGGATTGTCTACCTCCCCTTTGAAGTCCCAGAGCACCACCCCATTCTCTTTAGCTCATGATGGTATATAAGCCTAAACTGCCTGACTGCATTTGAGTTTCATATTTTTATGGGGCTTTCGTACATGCAAAATTAAATTTGTTTTTGTCAATTTAAATTATTAGGCCAGCCAAAGAATGTATGAGGGGAGAAGGAAAAAAAATTTTCTGCCCCTATGATATATCTCAACATGTACAAGGCCCAAAAAATAATATTGAGTGAAAAAGTTGTAAAGCATGCATATATAGTATGATACCATCTATATAGTTTGGCAATATACATACATACATATGTAAGTAATGTATGTAAGGGGCCAAGAGCAGGCTGCTCTAAGGTGTGCCATTGTGACATACAAATTACTTCAGAGTTGAAAACAATCAAGGCCCAAAAGACTCAGAAAGAAACTTTGACCTCCCAAACCCCCTCCCACCCCCACCCCACAACTGCATAGAATCTAAAATGAGGAACCACTCTAGGAAGAGCTATCACCACAGATAACTATAATGTAAAACTAGATGTGCTAGACAGGGAGGGATGTGGCTAAATCTGTTAAAATTCCTTTTTGTGCTCCCTCCTTCTTTCTGTGTGACCCAGCAAACACTTGTTCACCAAACATTTACTCTTTCATATTCTGTGAATTGCTTCCCTTTCTCTTTTAAGTCTCAGACCCCTACCCCCTTCTCCTTGGTTCAGGATGACATATATACGTCATTTTCCTATCTATCTTCAGAATCTATGTCTATGGATTCCTTGTATGCACATAATTAAACTTCTGTTCTTTTTCTCCTGTTAATTTGTTTTATATCAATTTGATTCTTAATCCAGCTAGAAGAACCTCAAGGGGTGGAGGAAATTTCTTCCTCCCCTACAGTAACATATATACATCATAATATTGTATATTGTTTGTAGTTAATATATATTTGGTAAATATAAAGATCTTTATTGGAATGTTAAACACCAAATCCTGAATAGTGATTTCCTCTGGAAAGAGGAGAGAAAATGGGATTGAAAGAATAAACAAAGCCAAAAGGTTTCTTAAGCAAGGTGACATTTATTATTCCCTACACTTATTTATAAACCTCAAATTATTTCACAAGAAAAAGATCAATGTTAGGATGCCCATCAATGAATACTCATAAGAGAAGGTGCCCTGACAAGCTAGCCCACTAACACATCTGGCCCAGCATGTCCCAATTGTTGCAATAAATGTACCAGCCCATTAGGGCCTAAAGATATTCATCTGAATTACACAACCAACTGTCTGGCTCAAACTTGAAACTCACCAGGGAGCCTTCTGAAAAGTTTGGCTCCCTATAATTTTCCCAAAAGAAGAAAGCATTCACTAGCTAGGTTAACAGAGACACTTAGTGCTCCTGAAAGCACATTTCTGACTAGAAATTAATGAGCTAGCATTCTGATTTTTATTCTTCAGTCCCTGGTAAGTTAAGTAATGAAGAAACAGCTTTTCTGAGTCTAATCAACTCTGGGACACAAACATAAATGTGTGTCTGATTCTACAAGGATGAGGACAAAACCTTGGCCCTTTTCCCAGACAACATCCCAACCTTCTTCTTTGCTTCTTCCAACTTTCAAGATTTCAGGAGCAAGAAAATTATTCTAGTAAGAGAAAGCAAAGAAATTTCCAATACATGCCTAGTTCCATAACTAAGTCAAGTTTTTCCTGTTTCTATCTCTTCTTGATATGACTCCAGAATCTAAGAACTGTTAGGCAGAAAGAGATGAGCAAGATGAAAAGAAGGTGGGGCCCACCAAAAACTCAGGGAGTTAATCAGACAAAGCCAGAGAGCTAGAGATAACTCAGAAGATTAATTAAACAGATTAAATAAAATCACAGGACAGAGTTACTTGAAGGGTACAGACACTCCCCAGATAAGAAACCTCAGAGGACAGCCACTCCCCAGATGACAATAATTTCCAATAAAATTGTCAGAGCACAGCCTCTGTCTTCAGTCCTCCAATCAGATGAAGCCCCTAAGGCCAAAGAATGTCAATCAATGTCCTTTACCCTGCCAAAAACCCCATAAAAGAAGCCTCACAGTAAGCACCCTGCCTTTGTCTACCTTGACTCTGACCTGCTCCTCCCTTGGAATGTTTTCAAATAAAACTTCCATTCCGCTTTGCTGTATCTCTGCCTTTCAATTCTTTGCTGCAGTGGGGACAAGAACTGAAAAGAACAAACTCAGCCTGTAACAGAACCATAGTGTCACAACTAAAAGAAAACAGAAGGGGTAGCATAACTTTTAGGCAGGATTTTATAGGGTCTCAATACCTTTTGAAGATCAAAAGACTCAACTTTCTTCTGTACAAAATATAATCAGATATAATTAAGCTCTGGGAGACAGATTCATACTAAGCAAAGTCTTAGGGGTCAAATTCAATTAGCTACAAGAGAAATAAACATTGAGAACAGGAATCAGTTTCTATCACGGGATATTCCCTCTCACTGAATAAATTCATGTAAGAAATATCAGAGGTCATTAGGTGGGCTTTAGAGCAAAGGTGTCTGATTCTCAGAGGTTTGCTCTACCCCAGTGTAGTGACCTGGTGACTTTAATGATTTGTCCTAAGAGAGCAAGAAACTAGGATTTTTACTGAGTACTTTAGGAACTGGGAATATTAAATTATGTGCTTTATGTATACTATTTACTATATTATTTATTGCTTAATTTCATTCTTAGAGCAACCCTGTGACTAAAGGTGTTATTCTCATTTTATTGAAGAGGAAACTGACTTGTTTACATTAGTAGAGGCAGGTTTTAGACTCAAATCTGACTCCAAAATGCACATGTTGTTACTACAACAATCATTTCACTCTAGTGATAATTCTCTTTAAACAGCTGCAACTGTTAGGGGTGTGAGTTTGTTCTTGTTCTGTCCCTGCCACAACAAAGAACTGAAGGGCAGAGATACAGCAGTGAAGCAGAGCTAAAGGTTTATTTGAATGCACTCCAAGGGAGGAACAGGCCAGACTCAGAGCAGACAAAGGCAGGTTTGCTTGAATAAAGTGGAGAGGAAGAGGAAGCTCACTGACGGGAACTTGCAAGCTCAAATCAGAGCTCTCAGTAGCCACTCCCTATACAGAGAGAGTCTTGTGCTTAAAGTCTGAAAAATTGAATGAAATAGCGGAGTCACAAAGAACACCACTGGAAGAGCAGAAGCAAAACATAACAAGTTGAGCAGTAAGAAGTCTCTTAAACAATTTCCAATAAATGGACAG